TTTTTACCTCTAAATTTAACAGAAAATGGAACAGAGGATCTAAATTGCTAACGGAAACCACAACCAGTTTGCAAATTTAATGACGAAAATGCAAATCGGGTATAAATTGAGGGACCATTGGAACTGAAAAGCCCTCTTTTAACTTGCATTAGAAAGAAATCTAATCATTATGAGGAGAAATTATAGAATGATATTGTTGAGTGAAAAAATGATTCCGATGTATGCTTGTTTCACTTATTTTATATTTTATTTAAAGTATTTTTGTTATTTGTCCCTTGTGCATCTTAAACATCTTTTTATAAATTAAAAAAAGGGACATTTTGAAAAAGGCCAAAGGAGAGAGAAATATTTTTAAAAGAAGCCAAAATGGACAAAAATGCCTTTATTTATTTTCGGATTTCCTAAGGAATCATTTACATTTACATGTGTTTGGTTTGAAAGTTGAGGGATTTTTCTGTTTTTTTTGGAAAAGTTTTGACTTTTTCCAAAAATGAAATTTTTTTTGTGGTTTTAAACTGACTTGTTTTTTATTAAAAAAAAATGCGAGGCACACGCATGTATATGCCTGAATTATGCTCTGAGTCTGACCTGCATCTGCTGGTGGAATCATAGCCATTATGGCGAGCTGAATTTGGGCTTCTCCGGTATTTCTTTGTCCCATTGCTCTGCAAACATGCGATGAATAAGATTAGTTCCTTTGTATTTTCCGTGTGTATGTAACTAATGTTGATAAATGTAAAGGCAGAAAAAAGAAAAGTGAGCATGCATGCATCACATGCATGTCGTCAAGAGAGGTAGCTATACCTTTGCTTTGCCTTCAGGGCCTCAGGCTAGCTCTTAAGCTCAAGGATCAATCTCCAATTGTTATTTCAATCCTACATGTCCAAAAATTTTGCCACGTAATTCAGATGTCAGCTTGATCATCATTTTCTTTTTTTTCCAAAGAAAAAACAGGAAAAAAAAACAAAGAGAAATTATGCAGCACAAAATTCTATACTAAAAAAAGAAATAGAAATTTGCTTTGTGTGGAGATGGGGTACCTGGCAGACACTCCTCAGACCCGGCCTCGACTACAGCGGCATGCAAAGTGTTGAAAAGATTTGGGAACTTTTTCTAAAAGGATGACAGGAGAAGACATTGTACGAGGAAAGGAAACAAGCCTGACGTGACAATATAACAACGTTCTGGTCCACTTTCTATAAATTATTAGTCAGACATTAATTAAATACATGTTCTTTTTTGTAGTTAATAATATAACGTTGTTTGTGTTCCCACAAAAAAACTGTCTGGATAATGATAATTAAAAGGGTTAATTGTTTTATTAGTCCCTGAATTTTGACCTGATTTAAATTTTAGTACTTCAATTTTCAAAATGGTTCCCGTGATCCTTTAACTTTAATTTCGTTCGGACAAATAGTCCCGCCGTCAATTTTGTTAGCTTTTTCTGTTAAATGCAGAGGCAAAATGGTATTTTTATATTAAAACCAAAAAATGAATAAAAAAATCATATCTTTAAAATAACAATAAAAGAAAATCAAATAAATAACCAACCAAATAAAATAAAATAAAGTTTGGGGGGAGTAGAAATCGGGAGAGAGAGAGAGAGAGAGTTTAATTTTAAATTTTTATTCATATTTTAATCAATTTTGATACAAAAATATCATTTTGCCCCTGCATTTAATAGAAAATTTAACAAAATTGATGACAGGACCATTTGTCATAACGAAACTAAAGTTAAAGGACCACGGGAACCATTTTGGAAATTGAGATACTCAAATGTAAATCGGGTCTAAATTCAGGGACTAATAAAACAATTTCCCCACTCTCTTTTTCTTCACTTATTGTTTTTCCTTGTTTAGGTTTTTGTTATAGGGATCTAATTTTCCCACTCTTTTTTTCTTCACTTACACTCTTTTTTGCTTTTTAATACTTTTTAATCAATTTTGTTCTTTCTCTTTCCTATTCTACCCTTATCCTACATTAATTTCTTTTTACTTCACTTTTATATTAGTTCTTTTTATTTATACTTCATTTTCCAACTTGCACTCTATTTTCAATATTTTTTTTCCTTTAATCGAATAAGAAATTAAGTTTTTTTATTTATTTCCCTTTAATACTAAAAACGGAGTGTAAGTTGGAAAATTAAGAATAAAGAAAAAATAATAATATAAAAGTGAAGTAAAAAAGAAATTAATGTAGGGTAAGGGTAGAACAAAAAAGAGAAAGAACAAAATTGATTCAAAAGTATTAAAAAGCAAAAGGGAGTGTAAGTGGAGGAAAGGGGAGTGGGGAAATCATCTCTTGTTATATACAATGATAATAAAGAGAAAATGATGCAATAGATCAACAATACATAGTAGCTCAAAAGGAATATTAAGGAGCTTGTAACTCAAATGATTAAAAGCAGTTATTTCTGTACATGAAGTCTTGTATTTGAATTTGTATTAAAATTCTATTAAAAAATATTTGAAGAAAGAAAAAATTGAACCAACAACCTCCTTTAGTTTTCGTCTAAAAATATTTCATAACAAGCCCAAGTAATCCTTCGGACCAACCTCGTGGCTCTGAATATGATATCTATTTTCTATTGACCTCTCATAAGACTCTGAGTTTATTCCAGGGTGGAGCTCCATCGAACTCATTTGTCTGACCTTTGGCAATTGTTATTTTTATTTATCCAGACTGTCTGAGTTTATTTCATGCCGAGGCTGTCATTATTAAAACAGGTTGGAACTCGTTCCATGTTTTGTTAAATTTCCCAATTGATAAATCAAAGAAACTGATGGTGCGACTAACGCAAGAGAGTGGAGAGAACATGAACTCCACCCTGGCCTGGATCTGGATGCTTGCTAGCTTTGTTGTTTAATAATCAGAAAGTTCTTCACGGGTGACGGCCAAACCAATTCAAAATTATATGAAAACAAAACGAGAGATCAGTGTGAAACTATCGACTTTTTATATTACTTAATTTATTTTCCGTTGATTTTTTTAAGGCCTAGTACATCCAAATGGAGAGCTGGCAAAACTTGAAGAGGTACACATGCAAGATCTTTATTTAAACCACTTAAATGTGGTCTGCTAATGGACATGGAGTTCTAATATGATTGGTCATGTAGTACTTGGAGTTGTATTTTTCAGTTTAAATCCAAGACTAATAAACACTTCAAGACACACTATACGACATGCACAAACACAAGAAGAATAAATACACACTACAAGAGAGATAAAGCAAATGCACAAAGAACACTAAATTATAGAGGTTCAACAATGTGCCTACGTTCTCTCTGTTGATCTCCTCGGAAATTTCAGTAGAACAAATAACAATGCACAAACTTACTTAAGAATATTCCCCGTTTCTTCTTAACAAGTTATATGCTAGAAAGAAGAGAACTGCTCAATGTCGGGTCTTCAAAGATAAAAGAATGCTAAGTTAGCTCTTA